CATGGTAAGACAAAAAGATTTGTATAGTGTTAAATATCCATGAAATCACAGCACATGTTTTGCACTGCATATAGGCACAGTGAAATCAGGAAACTGTAAATATTTTCCATCCCCACATCCTCCCATATACTCCACCTTTAACTATCATAAAACATACAATTTACTGAGGACTTTGCACCAGCCTGAGGCTACGTCTAGACTGCAAGCTTCTTTTGGAAACTTTTCTAGAAGATATCTTCCAGAAAAACTGAGTTTGAAAGAAAGCATCCACACAGCAAATGCGCAACAAAAAAGCGATGTGCTTTTTTGAAAGATAGCGTCCACATTGATTGGACACTATCTCGCATTTAAGTTGTGATTAGTCTAGATGGCACGGGCACCAGGGCACCTGTTTTATTTCCTGGAGGCCTCTTCTTTCGAAATAACTCCCTTTTCTGCATCCATACATGCCTTTTTCATAAAAAGCTTTTTCGGAAAAAGGCTTCTTCCTCGTAGAATGAAGTTTACCACTGTCAGAAAAACCCCTCTGTTCTTTCAACTTTCTGTCAAAGGAACTCCATGGTAGTGTGGACACAAATATTGTTTTTCCAGAAAAATGGCCTTTTTTCTGGAAAAACGCTGCAGTGTACACACACCCAGAGTGACCATGGTTACACCAGGCATCATGTTCTGAAGTTCCTAGATCTGGCTCAATCCTGTGAATCCACACATTTCAGAGACAGCCTTATAGCTGCATCAGGTAGAATCAAAACATGTACCTGTCCGTGCATTAACAGAATGTTGGAAAGCCTCCTGATAACATGGGGAAAGAGCATGCAAGAGCAACTGAAGAAGAACCAGATCTCTCAGAGTATGACCTTCACACAGAGTCAAATCACTTTATGCTCAGGATTTTATGCTGATATTACATATGGAATGGATCTTTAACTATGATATCCTCTAATTGTTGATGCCCAATTAAAACACCCTCAGGCCTGATTTTCAGAAGGTGCTGAGTACCAATAGTTTCTATTGAAGTCAATGGGAGTTTATAGGTGTTCTGTGCCTATAAAAATCTGGCCTCTGATGTCTCAGTCTGCATACTCCAAATCAGTGGTCAACTTTGAAAATTTTGAAAATACATTCAACAAATGCTGCCTAAAACTGTTGCTTTGACACGTCACAGGGGAAAATTATCTCTGTATGCTGACCCTGTGACAGGTAATGCAGAAAAGTTGCATTCATTCAAACAAGCTTAGAAGTAGACTAAAAGTTATTAAGTAAAAAGTGTTAGAAGACTAAAACATAGTAAGAGGCTTGAGTGAATCCGTTTTCACTACCTATGTATAGAGAGCAAAGAATTTGTCATGCCTTACACATGTATTCCGGTAACCAAGTACAGGCACTGTAAACTACCAAATGCAGCTTATGTCTTGTAGGCTGTGCATTGTGTAAAGATCGCAAACAAGTAAAATC